CAGAAGCTATTGATTTTAACTTAATTATACTCCGGACAGTCATTAAACATCTACGGCATTTACGAACATATAGCACTCTATTCTTTCACCTAAATTTTCATCAACTACCTATTATAGAAGCTCATGAACACCATATGGACTGCAAGTGTAATTTCTTTTATTGGGTCTTATCATTAGTTACAAGACAACAGAACATGGGTACAATTAAGTGACAAATAATAACTGGTGCATAATAATCAGAAAATCATCTTACACTAAAATGGAATATAATCTTATTCGGTTGAGTACGAAGAGTCGTCAATCAAATTTTCCATCACATTCTCTTATTTGACTCATTAGGACTGCATGGCCTCAACAATAAAGGCATGATGAGATATGACTTTTACAAATATAGGTGGACCGTTTATACTATAACGAGGCAAAAACCGCGGCTGGACGGGATTAGTATATATACCGACTATGTGACCATCACATACCAGTGGACTGCCTTCATCCTCCTAGAAGTTTTTGATTATTAAAAATTCACTATAAGACAAATATACATTCATTTCGTACCAGCGTTAGGAGGTTCGCTGGATCAGTAGTCTTGGCGCAAAATTCAGTTGATCTCACTTGTACGCCTGCCCTCTCGCATTCAGAAGGTTCGAGGATACGTAGGCGACACCAAGGCCGTCTTCGATTTCTAGGATATGTAATTGGCGGCACAATCTGGCCTCCGACGAAGATGCAAACTTCAAAGGATATATTGGGTCCATATGGTGCTCGTACTCCGGCAGTTACATTCAATATATGATCATGTGTATAATAGCCGACTGATGTAAGATTCTGTATCTAGGATATTTAATATTTGTCAGATTTAGGCAATAACTTACTAATAATGGTACACGTTTTGCATGGAACTAGGAAATCTTGGATTTTCAGATGATAATTTTTGTACCTTCTTTCCTTTTCAAGTTATTAGGGATGTGTCAAAAACGTTATAACCCTTTTCCATAATTCGTTATATTTTTCCCAATTAATTTTACATTAATATTTCGATGCGTTAATTAGTTGAAATAATACCTATAGAAAATTGTTATATTGTATTTGATTTTATGAATAAATATTTTATTGTTTAAACAAATTAATGGAAAAAAATTTTAGTCAATGGTTGTGAAATTTTTACCATCGCTGTATATATGCTTCAATAGTAGATTTTCAAAATTTCAACCAAATTCTATATTTTGGACTATATTTACAAAAATTTTTATTTTCCCTATAAGAGGCCATGTTAATTGAAAACTTTAATAATTAATAACCACATAACGGTTATGTGCATTAATGTGAAATTTCAGACTGCAATTGGTTATTTCTTCAAAAACATTATGTCTAAATTTTAAACAATTATATCTTCTCCACTAGATGTAACGCAACCTTAAGAATTAACATCTCTTCTTATGTACGGGTGATTACCATTACGATTACGGGAATTTTTCGATTTTGCATAAAATTCTCATCTTAAATTATAACGTAGTTAGAATAGGAGACTTCGATTATTAATAGATTGAAAAGAAGATCTGAAAAGAATCGAAGACAATTCTGCTATGAAGGTCAAGTTCATGTATAAATTTTAAAAAAGTTCATGATTTATCCTTTTTGAATGAAACACCTCTAACTGAAATTTCGGTAATTTGGTCAACACATTCCAAAACGAATTCGATTATGCAATTTTTTTTAATATACTTATATGCCTATAAAATACAGATAAATTCACGCCATACTGTCTATAATGAAAGTCAATCGGCATAATCTATGATATTTCGACTAGATACAGTTCATGCGTTCAAGAGAAATATCTGAAATTAATTATCCTTATATTAATTAATATCAATCCTTATTGAAGAAATCGTTGTCACGCGACAGTTCCGTAAAATTTCCTACAACCACATTTCGCTCGGGAATTATGGAAAAGGCAGGTAATTTTTATCGAATTTTTCTCTGGTTTCACGATACGCTATGTGAGGATGAAGGAAAATCTCAAATTATTCCTTCAAGTTTCAATGTGAAGTGGAACGAAAAAATGGATTGATAGATTCA